AGCGGGGGGCATTGAGGGGTGACCAGGCCAGCAGCGGGGGGCATTGAGGGGTGACCAGGCCAGCAGCGGGGGGCATTGAGGGGTGACCAGGCCAGCAGCGGGGGGCATTGAGGGGTGACCAGGCCAGCAGCGGGGGGCATTGAGGCATGAATTTCATGCACTGGGCCTCTAGTTTTATCATAAAATGGAATAAAGTAGTGATATGTGCCATAGCATAGATGAATCTCTAAAATATTATGCTATGTGAAAGAAGCCAGCAAAAAACATCACAAATTGTATGATTCTATTAATATGAAATATTCAGAATAACTTAATTGACCGAGATGGAACATAAATTAGTGGCTGCCAAGGACTGAGGGGAGTGAGTAATGGGGAGAAAATGCTTAATGGGTAAAGGGTTTTACTTTAGAGCAATTATAATTTTTTGAAACTCTGTAGAAGTGGTGGTTTAGTAAATCACAACATTGTGATTGACTAAATGCCACTGAAGTGTTTACTCTCAAAGGCTTCATTTTATGTAATGTGAATTTCACCATATTAAATTATTGTTTTTTAAAAATACTGAGTGACAAGGTTGAAGCAGCACCATATCCCATGTTCTGAGGATCACAAATGGTTTAAATAAGTCTCCTCCATGAGGAGAGAATGCAGAGTTTGTCATTATTGATCCCTGGGAGGCTGATGAGGGCTGGGGGTAATTTTATAGTATTTCAAAAGATGGATTTGATTTCGCTCTTAAATATATTTATTATGATATTAGATTATCAGAGCTGGAGAAATTACTTTTAATGGCTATGCCTCTGTGCCATGTGCCGCTTTATTTTCCATGCTCCACTGAGATTTCAGTTGATCTCATTGATCCACCCAAAAAAATGAAAACAGGAGATAATAAATGCTTCTCTTTCGAGATGGATTCTCTCTGTGAAATGGGAAGATAATTATGCCAATGTCGATGGGCAGGTGAAGTTATTCAGGCACAAGTGCTTCATTTTTGGCTCTTAAATCATGTAGCTTAGCTGACCATATAAAAATGATGTGGAAAATTATAGATGGTGTTTATATTTTGTGTGAACCAGCCTGTGAAGCTGTTGGGAGTTATTTGTACATATACAAAAATGGTAAGGCATATGCTTTCCATGGCTATCGCATAAATATCTAAATTTTTCAGATGAATAAGGGTTTTTGTGGTATACGTCTTTGCAAAGAACATTTTTAAGGTCCCTATATTTGGAAGTCCTCTTACGTGTTGGGCACCTTGCTATGTATGTTGCATAAATAATTTCTAATACTTAGAATATCCCTGAAAGGTAACTGTTATTATTTCATTTTCAGAAGTGAGATAACTGGGATTCAAAGATGTTAAATGACATACTCATGAGGATAAGTGGTGTTATGATTCACCTTCAGATACTTAAGTGTCAGACTAGACCACTTTGCGACTAGGATCCCATTGTGCCAGTTTTTTTTTGTTTTGTTATAAAATCTTATAAAAATAGCTCACACATATTTCAGAGTAGGCTATGACTGTTAATTTGCCTCCCCTAAAGAAAGGCTCTTCACTTTGATCTTTTCCTTAATTGGCCTGTATAGACAAACTATCAAATTGTTGGTGGAGAATTGACAACTCGTTGCACCAAGGAAGTGTGTGTACCAGTTTATATGAACGCTTAGCTCTTGAAAAACATTCTGGCACCTAAAGAGAATGGGTGCTGAATGGTGACTGGGGAGAATGTTAAATTTGGGTAATGGCAATTTAAGGAAGGAATAAATATAAGACAACTTGTGTGTCAGTCTAAGTCACTCAGAATTTGATGTCCAATAACTCTTCCAATATAGGCATTCTTTTTCCCTCATGTAGCTTCAGAATTAACTGTCTTCCAAATACCTTGTACTTTTCTACTATGATACCTTTGTTGGCACTTTGATGCCTGAAATGCCGGCCCTCATTGCCACCAATCCGGAACCTTTCTCTTTCTCCCTGTTGAAAGGCTTCAGCTGTCATGCTAACCCCCTAGAGGTCCTTCTCTTCCCTGCACTGCTGTAGCATTTCTTGTTCAAACACACATTTGCAGCTTGGCATGTACTTTTTTTTGTTTTTAAGCTATTTTTTAAATTGATTTTTAGAGAGAGGAAAGGAAAGAAGGAGCGATACATCCATTAGAGCAGCGGCTCTCAACCTGTGGGTCGCAACCCCTTTGGGGGTCAAACGACCCTTTCACAGGGGTCGCCTAAGACCATCAGAAAACACATATATAATTATATATTGTTTTTGTGATTAATCACTATGCTTTAATTATGTTCAATTTGTAACAATGAAAATACATCCTGCATATCAGATATTTACATTACGATTCCTAACAGTAGCAAAATTACAGTTATGAAGTAGCAACGAAATAATTTTATGGTTGGGGGTCACCACAACTTGAGGAACTGTATTAAAGGGTCACAGAATTAGGAAGGTTGAGAACCACTGCATTAGAGCCATACATCCTTTGGCTGCCTCCTGCACTCCCCCTATTGGGAATCAAGCCCACAAGCCTAGCATATGCCATGACCAGGAATCAAACCAGCAAACTTTTGATGTATAGGACAATGCCCAACCAACTGAGCCATGGGTTGGCATTTACTTTTAGAGATAGTTTTATTCTCATGTGTTTATAGCTAATATCTGTTATTAACTATGAGTTCTAGTGGGATAAATAAGTTATTTTCATCTATTTATATACCATCAAATACTCTGGACATACTATGTGCTCATCAAATAGTTGATAATTATATATAACTCTTGAAAGCAGAGCTTTCTCAGAACATACTCATAAAAATACCATTTATGGGACAGATGCTCCTTAAAAAGGGATGGCCATTGGTCAAATAAGCTTGAAAAACACGACATACCACTTCCACCCTAGGAAATTTGTACTATATATTGGCATTTTCAAAACTGAGGAACTCTTTAGTATAAGACCATTTTACTAATTCAACCCAGTAGCTCTCAGCCCTCTCCCCTTTTATTCTTTATTATTTAAAATGTTCTTTGAAAGACACTGCTTTAAAGTGTTTTATATATAAATGATGCTACTAATACTTATAAATGTGGAAATTGCATTTTGATTAGAGATGTAATTTGGGTGTTTTGTTTGGCCTGCCTCCTTCTGTACTTGGAAAACCACTACCCATTAACTGTACTGGTGTGTGTGTGTGTGTGTGTGTGTGTGTGTGTGTGTGTGTGTACCATATAATGTAGGCTTAACCTGAAAATAGATCGAGACTAACAGGGGAATGTTTGGAACTGGTCTTTCAGCTTGATTATGTTCTAGAATCTCTATTACTTCTCATAATATGTTGGAGAAGTTTTATTTGTACCTCAAGGGCAATGAGCCTGGCCTCACTTACAAATATGAATGCAGATATTAGCAGTGCACACTCTTCTTTAGGCAGCTTGCTTACTGTCACGTGGTTTTATTTACTTCCTCAGAAAAGGAATATCGATCTCCAGGGAATTAGACACAGCATAGTTCATGGGAAAAGCAGAATTTTGGGGTCAGAACATTTTAAATTGATTCCCAACTCAGGCCTGTGTGATCCTGTCCAAGGTTTCTTTCCAGAGCCACTGACTCCTCGTCTATAAAGCACGGGTCATGCCTGATCTGAGAGTTTCCTACAAGGACAGTGCCTGGCACAGAGGTGACACTTTATAAATATTAATCCCCTTTGCAGTAGTTTTATGTCAGAATATGACAAGAGCATTTCACAGGCACAAAGTCATACACAAAAAACAAGCTCTCTCCTCGAGTTGCCATTCCACATTTCATGTTGTTACGTCAAACTATAAACGGTATCACTGTTGTTCCCGTCTGCTGTTTTCATGGGGTGACTGTGAATGGGGGAATAGGAGGAGTTGAATTATTAATTGTGAAGAATATTTAGTTCTATAAATAGAGAAGAATAATCTGAGATATGGAAAGTAACTTGGAAGTGATCACCTGAGGCCCTAGCCAGTTTGGCTCAGTGGATAGAGCGTCGGCCTGCGGAATGAAGGGTCCCAGGTTCGATTCTGGTCAAGGGCACATGCCCAGGTTGCAGGCTTGATCCCCAGTGTGGGGCATGCAGGAGGCAGCTGATCAATTATTCTTCCTCATCACTGATGTTTCTCTCTCTCTTCTTCATTTTTCCTCTCTGAAATCAATAAAAAACAAACAAAACAAAACCAAATAAGATAAAAAAAATATATATTAAAAAAAGAAATGATCATCTAAGTCTTAATATCTGTCAATTGTAAATATGTATTTATAGTAAATTTATGTTATAAATATATATACATTTAAGTATTTTATAAGTGCATTCAAAGGGGGAATAGTAAATGCATTTGGAAGAAGTTTGACTGTCTTTCAACATTTAGCTCAACACATTATATAATTCAGCCACGGATGCATTTCCATTGTGGTTTTGGATTACTTGTCACTATGCACAAATAAAGTAAAAGAGTAATGGTGTGATCATCTTGCTTAAGGTTATGTATTTGGGGCAAAGGCACACACCAGAAAATTAGATTGGTAAAATTCTTTTTTATAGGGTAGGATAGGATGCTCAACATAAAACATGCTTTCAGGACAACAGGCTACTGTGACCCCCATTTTGCAGTAAAGCATATACTTGTTAGCTATGGTTGTCAATAATGCATCAGTCATGTCTGTCTCCAGCCAGCCATGGCTGAACTGCTGCTGGAAGAAGCCCACTGTGTCCCTGTGAAGAATAACAAGTGCCAGTTTTGCTGTGGCATCTGCCTTTCTAAATGCCAATGATCTCCTGGCAGTTTTCCTTGACACAGGCATTATGAATGGCTGGAGAAACCATCATTTTCTGTACTTTATTGGTTTAGACACAAGGTGAAGTCTTCTAAGCTAAACGGAAGTAATAGAGGAAGCAGTGAGCCTCAGTGTTCCTTGGGCTGGCCTGGATTGAGCATTAACCAGCATGTGTCTTGGTCTGGTTGATTACAGGAGAAGATGTGTCAGGGAGTCTCTGCCCAGCATCTGTTCCTCCTGAACGGACGGCTTGTGAAATTCCCTGCAGGATGGATTGCGTGGTGAGCGAGTGGACAGAGTGGTCATCCTGCTCCCAGTCTTGTTCAAATAAAAACTCGGATGGGAAACAGACCAGGTCAAGGACTATCCTGGCATTGGCTGGAGAAGGTGAGTCATACTAAAGGCTTCAAGGAAGTCCATTGCCCAATTATTGTGTTCCAATAGGTAACTGTGAAGATCATATCACGGAAGTAGACACATATAGGTGACCTTCTATACGTATTCCACTAATCCAAATGAACACTTTCCTGTCATTGTGTGCCTGTTCTCTTTAATCCTCAAGGGTGTCTGTGCTGAGTTCCATTTATTTGCATGAATTGTTTTAGTCCATCTTATGTTATTTTTCATTATACTCTTTTAGGGAAGAAAACAAAGTCTGGTTGATACACATCCAGCTCATGTAGTTGGGGACATAATTGGAATATGTCTGGTAAGAAGGGTGCCAAATTAGGAGTCGAGAGACACGGCTCCTTAACTGGAAACTGCCGGTCACTTCGGCAAGCTACCTGATCCCTGTGCCCTGATTTTCTGTTCTCTCCTGCTGGCATGTGGTGAGAGGAGAAAGGATGACGGCTGTGCAAATGGCTTTGAAGAAGCTAAAATGTGTGATGGGAATGTAAATGGAAGGCATCAGAAAAAACTAGAGGAGCAGCTGTTGCTGTTATTGATAGCAGCGTCTGAAACCAGACGATGGGTGTCATTCTCTCAGGCCCTCCCTCGGCTTTGTCTGCCCACAGCTCAGTTGGAGCAGCAAGGCAGTGTGGCCTCTGCATGCAGGGAGCTCCTCTTTCAACAAGATTCTGTTCTGTGATTCTGAGACAGGGGGCCAGTGTCAAGATGAATGAAGATTTTCATATTCTTAAAGTGCAATCGCTTCCTCTTCTGTCTTTTAGAATGTTGGATGGAGGGGTGGGGGGAAAGTCTGTAGTATTTAATGGGGAAAAACTTTAACAAGAATAACAAAATCAAAGTCACAAATTTTCTTGAGCATTTGGCCCCCTGAATAAAATAGTGTGAAAGATCGGGGGGAAAAATCAATGCTTTAGGTAAATACCAGTTTTCACATACATATAAAAAATGTGAAAGAAAAGACAGTACTGGAATTTGATTGTCTGACTCACCAAGAGTGTGAAGATCCATATCTATCTGGTCTCCCAGCCTGTGGATAATACATTGTCAAATATGATTTCAGAGGTCAAGGATGGCTTCCTCTTGCCAAACTTTAAGAGAGACTTCTCAAATTGTAATAAGATGCACTGCTTGATGGAGCTTGGATGTTTTAAAATGGTACTTGATAAAATAATGCTCTCTTAGCAAAGAGAGGCCATTTATAGGCAATAAGTGGGCTTGTGTGTGCATACCTCTGTGTGTGTGTGTGTGTGTGTGTGTGTGTGTGTGTGTGTGTGCACGTGTACGTATGTTGGACCCAGTATCAATTCAAGGTCATGGGCTATTTTATCTAACTGACTAATTTATTAGGCATAGTAAAAATTAAAATAAAAGCAGATTTCTTTAAAGTTTATCTCGACAATGGGGTGGGGAGTAGAATCAGTTATTTTTTAAATATAATTGACATGTACTGCTCCATGTTATTTAGAAAATGGATAGTATTTGTCCTCAGATTATTATTCAGGACAAAAGAGCATGTCCTTAAAGTGGGAAAAGGAGTGCAGTTGCTTAGGCCTTTGGATAGCTGTGCCAAAAAAGCTGTTTTACTAGACCATAAGAATAACAAAAACAATAAAAAAGAACAGCAAATAAGAACAGGGACATGTTAATAAAAACAGCAATGAGCCTGGCTGGTGTGGTTCTGTGGTTGAATATCAACCTATGATCCAGGAAATCACAGTTTGATTCCTGGTCAGGGCACATGCTGGATTGCAGGCTTGATTTCCACTAGGGGGCATGCAGGAGGCAGCCAATCAATGATTCTCTCTCATCATTGATGACTCAATCTCTCTCTCCCTCTCCCTTCCTCTCTGAAATCAATAAAAATATATTAAACAACAACAACAACAACAACAATGGCTATACATTCTTTCATACTTTGATTTTTGCAGGTGGAAAACCATGCCCCCCTAGTCAGGCCCTCCAAGAATATCGCTCATGCAATGACCATTCCTGTATGCAACTCTACTGGGAGACATCGCCTTGGGGCCCCTGTGCTGAAGACACACTGGGTACTGCTCTTAATGCAACCATTGGATGGAATGGAGAAGCTGCCTGTGGTGTGGGCATTCAGACACGGAAGGTCTTTTGTGTCAAGAGTCACGTGGGACAAGTGATGACCAAAAGGTATTATCAATAATTTAGTGAAAGTGCATAGGGTTTTTGCCTATTGGAGTATTTTTAGTTAAAAGCATTTGTAAGCACTGAATATGTCTCATTCTGTGCTAGAGTAATACATTTTTGTGTTGTCTTGCTTGACTCTTAAAAATTAAAAAATATGTCTTAACAAAGGTAGACACTTTACTAAGTTATAATATGTGTATTAGTGAATGGATAACAGCAAGACCCACAAATAGGGAATCTGTTTGAGTAATCGAATTTTCTAGAGCTGATCTCAATAGTTTTGACTCTTAATCATGCAAAGACTGGGTCTACATGAAGGCAGTTTTGAACTTTGAAATTATAGGGTTGTATTTTATTCTTCTTTAGGTCCCATTGATCTTTTCTGCTTTGAGAACTAAATCTATGCAGCCATTTTGAATATATTAATTCATTCCCTTGTGCATGTTTACAATCTCATGGACACTGTACTGGGCACATGAAGTTGTAAATAAATAAATAAAAATCAGTAGGAGATTGGACATGGAGAGTAGGATATAGATATAAAGAAGGGTCAGGAATAATTACAAGTGATGGAGGAAAAAGTGTAGAGTGGAAAGCACAGCTGGGGAAGTTGCATCTCTAGACAAAATAAAGAGACATAACTCTTCCTCGAGTTCATGTGGGTAATCTCGTGGAGAAGAAAACGTGAAGGACCTCTGCAGTATGCAGAGACTAGCTAACTGGCCTATCCATAGAGGTTTCCAAGTGGCCATGTTTGAACTAGTCCCCTCTTTGTGGTGAAGACCCCACCCAGCCACAGGAGTGGTGGGCCACCAGGATGGACTGGTGCAAACTAGGCAAGTTAGAGATGTTCCCAAGGAATTTTCAAAATGGGAAAATGAAATCCTCTCTTTTTCTATTCCTGTTGCTCTAACTATATGAATTAAGAGTTTCCATAGCCCTGGTTAGGCCTGATGGAAAAGTAAGAGGGGAGAATGAAGCTGATGCTCAAAAAGAAGCAGAAATCGAAGCAGAACAAATCCTGGCAGCATTAAGCCCTGGTCCCATCCCCCTTAAGTATACCGCTGCCTTTCCTGGCAACCAAGGCAAATGCATTTGCTCTTCTGCCTAATTCAATCCAATTTGTGTTGCTGCCATGGGCAACTCAGACACCTGATTAATCTCATCTTGGGACACCAGAATGACAGGCTCTGGGCCTTATCCACACTGCCATGGAAACCACATTCACTGTGTGTAAGAAAAGTCATAGAAGTTCAGTTAAGGGAAATGAACTGCTGATGGCAGAAATCGCGCAAACTGGCCAGATGCTGCTGGTGGTGGAGCCTCCGATGGGCAGCTGGCTGTGTAAGTGAAGATAACTATGCCTTGCAGTGAAGCACAGTCAGGAAGACCTCATCACCCCCCCACCACCACCACCAGTTGTGGTTTCCAAAATGCTGGGGTTGGATATTCTCCACTGTAAGGACCCCAGACTTTAGAATAGTGTTGGGCATGTATGAGTGTTCCATAAGCATTTTAAAATTTATGAATTAACTTGACCTATGTGCTTACCAAGGCTTGGATATAAATTAGAGAAAAACGAGAGTAGATGATGCTTATTATTTGCCTCAAAAATATATTTTATCTACCATAATAAATTTTGGCAAAGAGGACTGCCATGAAGAGTAATGAAGAGATCATACATATGGCCTTCTGCTCTTATTAACTCATAAATGTTATTTCTGTTTAGCATCCAATGCTACATTGCTCGTGATGTTTATTGGAACATCGAATTATGTCAGTTGTGTGTTGAAACTTGCCTGGTATCCTTAGCCTGGTATCCATGGGAGTTATAGCTAAACATGGAAATAATGTTTACATATCACCTACTTGAGGTGACTATCTAATTACTGAGGTTATGGTAAAATCCTAAATGACTTAAAAAGTTATGAAGAGAACTCCTTTTATCTTGGAAAGGATTGCAGCCTTAATAATGTTATTGTTATGATGCAAATATTAAACTGCTAAAAAAAGGATGCATGAAATGTTAGCTTTGTTATACAAATAAAAATAAATAGGTCCTGGATATAGGAATAAGACTTATGTGATATACAACAATATTCTTTATAGTGATAAGAACCTTTTGCATACTTGAAGTCTGATCTCCTACCTTTGACAAAACCTTGCTTAGTTCTGAATCACAACAGATAATAATTCCCTTGATGGGAATGCAATTTGTTTCTTTCTTAGCAAAGGAGAATTGGAATTGAGACTGACATCTAGCAAATAAATTATTATTACATTGTGAAGGCTATTTGGGCATGAAAAGTCAGATGATATGTTCAAATAGCATTCTAATTCCTTTTCTATCCTCACAATTACTTTGAATGAGACGGTTTTTTTAGTTAAAGTCTAGCACATCAACTTAATCAATATTTAACTCAATGATATTTTTATGCCCCCAAATCACAAGAACATAAGTTCATTGTTTAAAGCATAATTCACAAATTAATATACTTTTCTTTAAAAATTTATGTAAGTGAAACTAAACTATTATTATTATAGTGAATAACCTCTAGTTTTGTTCATTTTACCAATAAGAAAAATGAATTGCACAGATGTTTTCCCTAACACACACACACACCCACACGCACACACAGATATTACTAATTACTTTTTGCACTGTTAATGAGGCTGGAGACTTAACCTAATTGTAATTCTTACTGTACATCTCCAAACAATCCTGCTAAACATAAGGAGCCTGATTGACTTTAGTAAAGTCAATTAAAATTCTTGAGGTTAATGAGATTAATTGAGCTATAAAAATAATAGCTACTGTCCAGTGAAACACATCATGAGATAGTGAGATTATCAACAGTAGAAAATATCCTTTTCTCTGCCCTTTTAAAAAATAAATATGTTTGTTCTTTTTCAAGTGAAAGCCATTGCAGTGGAGAAAGGTCCCCTGTGAAATCTTTGGATTGGGGGTGGGGCAAGAGAAAAAGGAAAGGAGAGGAAAATTTCCTAAAAAATCAGTGGCGTTGGCGTAGAATGAAAGAAGCATGCCTCCATGGAATGGATCAGCTAACATAACGTATTTTATCTCTAAACTCACTGCACTGGGATGCACAGAATTCCTTGCAAGTTCTCGCTTCCCTGGGTTGGTGTTTTGGTTTCCATGCAATTGTGTAGGTGAGAATGTTACCATTGTATGAGTAATAGAACTGATCATATCAGAAAATGAGAACTAGCTAGGGCACAACGGAAACAGAAGTGAGAGCGTGTTGGTATATTTTTGGGGTTTTGTTTGGTTTGCTTCATGATTCAATGTTGTTTTTTCCAGCTGCAATGTAGAAAAATAATAATAAAGATTAAAAACACACAACTCAAAGCTTTCCAAAGGTCCTGATAAGTCACTCTCTGCCTTTAATGTAAAAACACGTGGCATTTTGTGAGCTATAGGAATATAAAATTCCAGTGAAACATTTAATGTTTAAACAGTGGTCAGGTTTGCCCCCTTAGCTGAGTGAGCTGGAACATCAGCCCTGGGGTAGGAGGCCTGCTCTAGAAGATGGAGCACTGTGTGTCTGCATCTTGGTTATGGAGGCAAACTGAAAAGTGACAAGTCTTTGTAGCTGCATTTAATACATTTCCTCACAATGCTTATAAGGAAATTTGGCCTACAGGGAGACCAAGAAACAATCATAGAATACTTCAGTGCAAGTCCAGGAAAATATATGTGTTCAGTTGGGATGCCTTCATCCTTTTATCAAGAGCACAACCAATTATGACAAAAGGCAAGGGCCATAGTTGGTTTGCTAAAAAGTGAATCCATGTTTTCTTGCACTTTAAGCCTTCAATTTTGTTTTGGAGAAAGCTGGATAGATTTGTCTAATATTCCCAGAGATTTATTTGTCTTCAGGCTCCAAAAGCATAGGATACTATTCAATCACTGACTTCCTGTTACTAATATTTGCAATGCACTAAGATCTGGCATTTTTAAGTTATGACATAAGATGGAGTTCTACGAACAAAGCACTCAAAGTTAGTGTATGTATTTTGTATGCGCATGTGCGCATTTGCACACACACAACAGAACAGCAGCACAAAATATGTCAAAAGTCTTTTTTCAGTCAGTGACAATACAAGAGTACAGAAAATAAAAGCCTGTAGTTTTTAGAAGCAAGGGGGGCGGGGCACATAAGTTGCTAATGGTCAAAGAGAATATTTTTAAAGACTAAGAGGAAATTCATGGAAATTGAAAATGTAATGATCCTTGAAGCAGTAGACCTTCCAACAAAGCCCTTAGTTCATGGACTCTATAAAAGCAATGTGACCTGAGCATCTTGACCTTTGCCAATGAGGAGATACCATTTCTCTCTTATGGACCTAGTGGAGGAACACAGAGAGAAAGGGGGCCATATTGTGGAGAGCTGACATTAGGCTCAGTGAGTGATTATTGTGAGTGAGGGGAAAACGGTTTAAATAAAGTAGACAATATCATACCCTAGAAAGATGAACTCTCACTCATAACTGAAGTGAGCCACGTCCCTGCAGAGCACGCCACCCTCTCCAGCAAGTCTGCAGCTGGCACCACACATTTCTAAGCTCTGTGGAGTGTGTGGGTGAGTGTGCAGTAGGATGGTGTGGGCCCTCCTGCCCCACTATGCACACAGAGAGTTGGCTTTACTCAGGTTGTACTATCATTTCCAGCCAAAGACCAGGAGAGGCTAGAGAGGAGTTAGAATTCACAGCAATTCAGTTTAATTTCAGTGTATTTCAGAGTGTGACTAAAGGACTTGGGAATGATTTTAGTTTTTTTTTGCTATCTCTACTAAAGTATAACATAAATTTTCCCTACCAGAGTAGCTTGTTTAAATAACACGATATGCTCATAAAGACACTCTAAGGATATTCTTTTTTTTTTCTTTTTGTTGTTAGATTCATTGAATTGAACTATTTGGTAGACAGGCTTTTGTGTGTTAAGCATAATTAATAAAAATGCCACTATAATGAATTGAGTAATTTGTTTTCTGTGAACATATTTTCCATTTTCATCAAAGTAATGATATGCTCCATAGTAGAACTGAAATAATACATTTAATTTGCTGATGGTGGAAAGCAACCAGTCCCCAACGATCTCCTCCGCTTAGTACCCCGTGTCCCAGATACAACCACACCTTAATAGTTGTTATAGATTTTTTCCCTCCCTCTCCCTTATTTTGACTGGGCAAGCCTTCACATGGTTCACAAATCTTAACAATATACAAGGAGATATAGAATAATAACAACAGGAAGCCTTCAGACACCCCTGCTCCCCTTCCTTGCCTCCTGCCTGCCCCTGGCTATGGCTTTATTAGTTTCTTATCTATCCACTGTGTCTTTATGTCAATATGGGCAGGGCCATGTACATATTTTATCTGTTCTCCCTTTCTGAGGTTTAGTTTCTAATGCTGCATGACATGTTTTTCAGATATCCTTTCTATATCTCTTAATTTCTTAATTTAAAATGTCCATTCATTGATTCCTCTCATGAAAACAATGAATGCAGCCCATTCACACTAATTCCTCTACCAATTCCCCACATGGTTGACTTTATTTCTTATTTGTTTATGTGTTGATTGGTGCTCTGACCCTCTGCTTTGTTAGATGAAGATATCCAAGCCTCCTCTTTCTCCTCTTTCCCTTCCATCTCCGGTCCTTTGCCCACTGTGTCTTATGAGGGCAAGAATATCATGTACTTTCTGTTCCACAGCCAGTTTCCATCTCCCACGTTTTGTCTATGTATTGTTTATAAAGATTTAAAACTAAGAAGATGTTTTCATTTTTATAACTATGAAAATTCATGAGCTCTAATGTTAATCAGACCAGGGGCCCAGTGCACAAATCCGTGCACCTTGAAAGGAACTGTGGGCCACAAGACTGTGGTAGGCACAGGGGCGGGTCTTGGCCCATCCTCTCCGCCCCCTCCCAGCCCCTCCTGCTGCAGCCCCCAGTCCCCTGTCTGCTGGAAGCCCCACTCCTGCTGCCACTGCACCACGGAGCAAGTGGGGCTGGCGCCAGCAGTGGGTGCAAGCGGGGCCAACGCCGGCAGCAGGTGTGAGCACCAGCCGGGACCTCGGCACACAGAAGCGAAGAATTTTTAGTAATCACCAGAGACTCACCCTGATAACAGCGACCAGCACCCTGCCTTGGTCAGTAATCACCAGACTCACCCTGATAACAGCGACCAGCACCCTGCCTTGGTCTGGCGCCCCCGCTCACCTGCTCCACCCTCCCACCGGGGCCGATGCCCACCATGTTCCGCACTCTGCCGCCTGCTGCGACACCCACCATGTTCTGTGCACACCCACTGGTGGTATCATCACTTCTCTTACTTTTTCTTAGTGTTTGAAATTTGGACAATCTCTGTGTTTGCATATTTGTAATTTTGTAATTCAGTTGGTGGGTTTTCATCTGAATCTTCACACTCTCATCAGCTCTTTTTGTTGTTGTTTTTGTTAATCCTCACCTGAGAATATATTTTCCATTGATTTTTTTTTTTGAGAGAGTGGAGGGAGAGAGAGCAGGAGAGAGAGAGAGAGAGAGAGAGAGAGAGAGAGAGAGATGTGAGAAAGACACATCAATTGGTTGCCATGTGCTGAGCAGGCAGGCCAGGAATCAAACCTGCAACCCAGGTACCTGCCATTGCCTGGGAATCGAACCCACTACCATTCAGTGCATGGGCCGATCCTCTAACCACTGAGGAACACTGGCCAGGGCTAGCTCTTTGTTTTTTTAATCCATTATTATTTTTGTGAATTTTATCTGCTACATCTTCTGTTCTCTTGTACTGGAAGGACTTTTGATTGTCTGTTTGAACTTGCTAGACCTGGTGCTTTATAATTTTTCTCAAGTACTCTGTCCCCAGGTGGCTTTGGCACCTCAGTTTTATCATCTGAAAATGAAGATTATAGTGACTTACTTTGTCATTAGGGAGAAATGAAAGAATGTAGGCAAAACACAATGCAGCACTGGGGATCTAATATCAAAGCTCACACCATCGGGCTTTATGCATCCTGCATCACTGTTTTTGTATTAGAAACTTATGAGGAACAGAATTTAAAGTGCAAACATGTTATGAGGTATTTTTCTGTTTTTTTTCCTCCTGGCATATCACTGTTTTAGAAGATAATAAATGTGGTTTTTAGCCCTGTGTTGTCATAAAAAAAAAAAACAGGAAAAAAAACTCATTTGCCATATTCTGAGACTTTAGTTCTTCCCAGTGAAATGAATCCATGGACTATTTATATTACTTTTCCTCCCAAGATGAGCATTAAATGAATAATCGACAAAATCATGGAAGTGCTTCTTTTGCTAATGCTAGTCAGTACATATGTTACTTGCAGTCTGTCACATCTTGCTTACTCCACTTCATCAATCTACAGGTTCTAAAGAGACACCTGACTATTGTAAATTGTGTTAATAATCAAATAGTTCAGTGGAATTCAATGATTTTTCTTTTTCAATTTTTCCATTTATTGCCTTGAACTTTCCTCTTCCCTTTGACTGATTTGGTATATTTCCCTGAATAAAACACTTCAAAAATATGTGATATATATATATATATATATAAGGGACGCCCCCTGAGTGCACAAATTTTGTGCACTAAGCCTCATTTCCCTGATAAAACACTTCAAAAATATGTGATATATATATATATATATAAATTTTTTGTTTGAATTGCTGCTGCTAGGGAGACTCCTCCTTGGCATCTGTCTTTGGTTAGTTTCAGGGCTTGTGCTTTTCCTGGTCTGGGGGAAAGTAGTGCAGTGTCTGGAGCAAGAGAGCTGAGGCCTCCTTCTGCTCTGCCTCTGCCTGAAGAGCCCTTGGGCAGTAGTTCCTCGCCCCGGGGCTGTCTCTCCTGGTCTCTAAAAAAACAACAGGGTGAAATCCTGCAGTTTTATGTTAAAGCACTGACTTTCCCCAGCAGGCACTGATATGGTCTCTTCACATTGACAGGTGTCCAGATTCCACTCGCCCTGAAACAGTGCGCCCTTGTCTCCTCCCATGCAAAAAAGACTGCACTGTGACCGCCTTCAGTGAGTGGACGCCCTGCCCGAGGCTGTGCCAGCCAGGTAGGCGGATGCTGTTTCTTTCTGCTTTATTTCCTAACCACTTGCTTGTGTTCCCCACCACCCAACAGCGAGAGAATGCGGCATGGGAGCACCCTTCCTGGGAACGAGGTTTGTAACATTTGCAAATAAGGTCTGGCATTTCAGATCCATCAGAACTAGGCGGGGCAAACATATTCGGTTGTGATGAGCCGTAATTTCACTGGGGTGCACGGCGGGAGTACGCATCTTCTGCTAACCCTGCGTGGCGTTTTGAACCATTCATATGTGGTTCCCATAAAGCATCATCGCCATCACAATTTATTCGTTGTTCTCGTGTGCACTTGTATTTCTTTATTTTAATGGTTACGCTTTGTCCCCCTGGGTGTACTTATAGGGCTATGGCCCAGAATCCTTAATACCAAGACCTACTAAACACACAGGAGCACTTCGGTAACATGATCCTCTTTCTTAGAACAGGACTTGCCCCCCATCCTATCTACTAAAGAAGGAATATGATAATTGACCCTCACACTGTGGCAAAGATGGCAGCACCCGCAGCCAATAAGGAGGGCATATGCTAATTGACCGCCTCGCCCTCAAAGATAGCGGCACCCACAGCCACAAGATGGCAGTGTCCAATCTCCTCAGCCCCGCTGGGGTGGCAGGCATGCCTCCCAAAGTCCCCCATCCCCGCAGCCTCCCAGCTGCCCAGGGCCGGCCTGAGGCACAGGTAACCAGGGCCGGCTGAGGCTTTTGCTGCTAGCAGTGGCAGCAGCAGAGGTGTAATGGGGCATTGCCTTCCCCTGATCGCCAAATCGCCTCCTGCCTTTGAGGGCTCCTGGACTGTGAGAGGGGGCAGGCTGGGCTGAGGGACCACCCCCTCCTTCAGTACATGAATTTTCATACGCCAGGCCTCTAGTATTTATTATGGTTCCCTGATGAGCTAGTCCACATGGAGATATAAAGGGTCCTAGCCTCAAAGCTCCATTTAAGCCTAAGACCAGGAGTTAATAATGTAGTTGCTCTTCCTTAGTCTCACACCTTGGCCTTGGTCCTGTAGATCTTACCATTGTCACAGTAAGAAAAGGCACATCCACGAAAAGGAAGGATGGAGAGAATATTCACCTGAGTGCCCAGAGTAAATTGGGGCTCAGCCACACACCCCTGGCCTTTGCTTTATGGTCAGGTCCTCTGAAGCAGGGTATGGCCTGCACTGTTGCCGCACTAACCTCCTGGTGGAAGGCAGAAAGTATGTCATTCTGCAAAGAGAGAATCCATCACAGAGGCTGATAGAATTAACACCTTTCTGTGCAGAATCCCAGCTCAATGAATCTGGGATCAACCAAATGTACTTTGACTCTTACACATCTTCCTGGGAGTGACATGATGATGTGACCAACCTCGCAGTGACTGGCCAAAGGGTGGTGGCCGCTATTGAAGATCATCATCATCAGTGTTTCAGGTAGCAGTGGCGGGGCACCTGCGCCAAGTTTTAGAACTGCCATTTCCTCTTCTTAATAACTCTTTGTCAAAGTAGCATCCAGTGAGCTTTGCTTATGGATAGAATCAGAAATAAACATATCGAATATAAAAGAGCTTTGAAAATACAGTCAAATATTTAGCTAATCTTTCCAAGGGGGGAAACAACAATCTCTTCTAGAGATTCTCCAAAACGTACTTTTTTGAATGAAGTTCTGCCGTGAGTGGACTGAATGAGCAGGGCTGGTCCAGAGAAGTCAGGGGGATGCCATTTCCAGACAGAGTGGGACAGAAGAATAATCTATATATGGAACCATTGGGAAGGCAGCATCGACGAAACTGGCTTTTTGAATTTTAATAGTAATGAACCCGAAAAACATACCAACTCTTAAAGATAAATTTTGGGAACATTTACGAAGATAAAATAATCTGTGATAATGGAATTGTATTGGGTTCCGCTATTTCTTTTAGTTTCTTCCCCATGGAAGATAAGTATAATTCCTTTGCTAAATGGTTATAAGAAGGGAAATAACTGAATTAAAAAGGGTGCCCACTGGCAGCCAGATATTGATGGGGGAGCAGTCAAGGCCTGCTGACCCTCAGGAGGTATATTAGTTTTGCTGAGCCGGTATACCCTTGTGGCCACAGATTATTTCAGCTACTGCTATTGAACCTATTCTACATTCAAGAAAAATCTCTCTGTCGCCCGGGGCGGGGGTGGGGGGTGGTCTTCTCCTAGCACTGGCTAAGGATGGAGCCATCATAGGGCATGTGAAATGATTGCTTTCTGAGCAATATTAAATTTTACTCCAATTTCCAGAAAGTCACTTAATTATTTAAATGTTGGCATTGAAATAAAAATAGTTCTAAACCTCTGTGGTCTCTTTTTGCCTCCACTTTTTTCAAGCCTAGATAATTCTTTTCACAGCCTAGCAGCCAAGGGACTTGAAGGAGCAAAGATTCAATTTTCAGATTTCTTCTGGCTTTCCACTTCAATTCTATTTACCCTCCTGTTAGTTCACACCTTGGGAGTAGTAGAGGGATAGGCAAAAGTAGATTTACAGTTGTGGGTATGTGAAACAAAGTTTATTCTTGTATTATTATTTATTCTTGTATTACATATTTTTCCATATGAACAATTGTAAACCTACTTTTTCCCACCCCTGTATGAGTCATTCAGAATTTCAAATAAGTCGAAAATTCCTCATCTGGACTTGAGAATTTCTTCTACTCAAAGGCAAACTGTCGCCACCCTTTCTCTTTACCTACTCCTTTCAAGCACACATGATCCCGTCTTTCTCCCCACAGACTCATCTGTACTATTGTCCACTTGGGAAGTGGAGGATAAAGTACTAATTACTCCCAAATAATGAGGAGTCTACACTGTGTGAGAGATCAAGATTTGGGGCCTGAAACATGTCCTCAAAATAATGTTGGAGAGAATGTAATAATCTAATAACATTTCTTCAGAAAGTGACTTAACCTAAGTCTCAGTTTTCAACTCTGTCCATTTTGGGTGTTACCTATTCTCAGTATTCTTTGAAAAATGAAATAAGATGTGCATCTCACATATATGCCCCAAGCGCAAGTCTCATTATACAAAGTATAGGTGCCTTTGATTTTACAAGCTCCACTGGGGGTGACAGACCTCCTTTAGTCTATAATTTAAAAGCCATAGATCACAGATCACCACAAAGTCCTAGTACTCTACTAGCAAATATTCCCCAAAAGTTAATAGGAAGAATTACAAACACTTGGACTTGTAAAGGTTACATTTCTCAATCATACTCCTACTAAACTGAAGAGTTCTGCTAATAAAATTCATAAAGGACACTTTTCTTAATTCATAGGAAAAAAAAGAGATAGATATAATTCTCATAATTTCTTTTAAAATTTTCCTCCTATGTGGGTTTTTCTTCTTCTGCCTGTCTCTACTAAAACCCAGTGGGAAGTGGTTTTGATTTGGCAATAAAATAAAAATAAATGGAACATTATTTTTAAAGTCCCATGACCACATTCAGGGAGACCACTGATAAGAACCGCCACTCAGAGCTGGAACTCTTAGTTGGCGTACCTACACCTCTTCACAGCATATGTTAGTGCAAATAGTAGCTGATAGGGAAGCATTCTCAGTCCACACATTCTCAGTCCTCCTCTCCACTGCATCCTCTTCATTCTGGGCCAGAGGTTGATGTACATTTGCAGAGACCTGGAGTTCACAGTATCACCAGCTGGGGTTTTATTTTACCTCTGGCAATGGCCCGAGGAGGTAGGTCTAATTGTATATGACTAACAGGTGAGGAACACCCAGCTCAAAAAGATGAAATCACTGATCCAAGATCACCAAACATGGCAGAGGCGAAGCCACGCTTGGGATCCAGATTTCTGTGACTGCAGGGCCTGCCTGTATTCATCCCACAACAAGTTATTTCTCATATTACTAAGCACAGCTCATCTGGTTTGTTTATTACCAATTGGAGAACCTGAAGCCTGGTACAGCTAGGGAATATAGTCAATATATTGTAATAACTTTGTATGGGGGCAGATGGTGACTAGGATTATTGCAGTGTTCATTTTGTAAGTTATATGAATGTAGAATCACTGTCTTGTACATCCGAAATGCATAAAATATTGTATGTGAACAATAATTTAAAAATAAGTAAATTAATTTTATAAAGAAAATTTGTGAAGAGGCTCTGCATGTTACAGTCCTGCCACACATTGCTTTCATGTGCGCTATCTCATTCACTGTCAGAACAGTTTGATGACAAAGGAACAGCTGTTCCATGAGTCCTGCTCTGTAAATGAGAATCTTCAAGGAAAGCACCCCTGGTCACCTGACCCAATAGAAGCAAAGATACCCGGTTTAAATTAAACGTGCTACATTGCCTTGCCTAGTGAGCCTGTACAGTACTACACAAAACAAAGCTGGACAAGTTCAAATCTTATCTGTAATAAGCTATAGTAACTTAATATCATTGTCTTGGCTTCATCTCACTGCCTCTTTCTACCAAATTAGTAATACCTGTAGCATTGACATTCATTATTCTATTGAATTCTTTCCTCAACCCTATATGAAAAGAGTGATCACAACCTCATGTTACATATGAGGATACAGAGACTTAGAAATAGGGCCCAAGATTGCAAAACTGATAAATGGCAAACCATGTGGAATCCTAGTCTCTTGACCACTCATGTAGGAGTTAACATTTGCTGAACAATCCCTGTGTTCCAGGCACTTTGCTAGGTTAGGTACTATATATGCGTAGAGTGATGACTGAAAAACACATCCAGACATTATGGAGATAACAGTCTAGTGGAGGAAGATAGAGCGATTGAACACATTACCCAAAAGAATATGCAGTTACAAAGTGTGGTATGTGCTTTGCAGAAATCCATGGTGCTATGGGGGAAGGTAGTAAGGAAAATCAGAATGACCCTCCATCTCTAGAATATCTTTCTCTCTGTCTTTACTGTTTGCCCATTCTACCAGATGTAAACGTTTTCATTCTCCACTCAATTTGTCCTGCTCCTGCTGCTGG